CGAAAAATATATTATAAACACATGGGAGCTTAAAAGATTCTATCATTGTTAAGTTAAGCATATTTTGCTTATTTTATTAATTTGATTTCTGATTAATTCTATATCTTTTCTCAAAGACTAGAACTTGACAAAGCCATATCTCAACATGTCTGATTTGATGATGAAGACGCGTCCTGGATACAAATGTCTTCTTAACAAGAAAATACTCGATCGAGTTATTTTCCTTTCACGAATTCTCAATCTTACGCAACTTGAGAGACGCTTTGTGCACTTAAGCAGCCCCGATGGTGCTTGGCGTTGTCCGTTGGAGGGCCATTCATCGGAAATAGACCTTGCCCCATTCATTGACCACACGCAGCTCCAGCTGAGCGCGGATCGAGCTGCCTTTGAAAAACTCTGTGGTGAGCCCCAGCGCTTTAATTTCAAAGTGGTGTGTGTCAATGGCTCACGCGTTGCCCTGTGTCGCGCCTTGCTCACACGGAACACAGCCAACACGGTCAAGGTTGGTGGGGTCTGTGGTTTCCCGCTTGGTCAAACGACAACGGCCATTAAGGCCGCTGAAGCGATGGTAAAAGCGAGCGGTGGTGTACGCGATAGGCAGACTGCACTCCAGTATATTGAAACTGGTGTGCATCGTATCGGAACTAGTTCAGGTATTGCTATCATCAGCAAAAATGAACCACTAGAAACATTTAAAGGAGGTTCTTATTAAACATCGATATCGGTAATTTCTATTTCGAAAAATAACATCATAAAAGCTGTCTCTGTGTATTTCTTGGATATTTTAACAATTAGAAAACGTATGTTTTTTCAAAAGGAATGCATCTATTAATTTTTGCTTCTTCTTTCAACGTTTAAAACGAAGCATATAAGGGCAAAGTCGAGACCACTTGTATATACTTTTCTTTCCTTTAATGATATATACTAATAAATAAAACTTTCAATCTCTCATACTAACGCTTGTTCCCCTTCTCAATATCTGCCTTTTTCTTTAAACATAAAGTAATATATATATCTATATGCGTATCTTTAAATATTTACCATAAGCTCCATAAGATCATAATAATATAACAAATGGGTATTTGTCATTCCTTGACTAAAGTAAAAAGAAAAAAGTATGATGAAAATTTTTTCATATCAAATGGACTCACCATCGGTGTTGAAACTCCAAGTAAGACTAAATTGGATTTCACAAATAGATTACCCCATGGCTCACAAAAGGTTACGATGCACAGCGTTTACGATGGAGACACTGTGACTGTTGTGCTCAATGATAAATCCCTTCAAAAAGTTCGCTTGATTGGGATCGATTCCCCAGAAATGAATCTCCAAGAACCTTTTGCTGTCGAATCCACCAATTTTGTAAAAAAATGTTGCCCTTCAGGCTCGGAGGCATGGTTAGTCACGTCATCCTTACCTAAAAATTTATACGATAAATATAAACGGTTGTTGGCTTTTATATACGTTCCAACTACCACTGGCGGTCCAGGTTATCGCCTCCTCAACGTCACACTCATTTTGGAAGGCCTGGCATTTTTTTATGCTCCTAATGGCGCTGATCTTCTTGATAAACGAAATCTGTTGTTATCTGCACAACGGTTATCTATCAAAAAGAAGAGTAAACTCTGGAGTATTGCCCCTCTAAAACGAATTGTGTATCTAACGCGGAATGGGATTGCATTCCATTCTAAGACTTGTGTGTACGCTAAAAAAATATCGGAAAAGATTAATGTAGAAAACGCCGCCCTAAGAGGGCTTAGTCCATGTAGAACTTGTAAACCTTTAACATAATTTTTTTTATTTTTTGTCAAGACCATCATTTTTTTTTAAAAGCACCTCTTTTGTTTCTGGGATTCTTTAGCATTTCAAAACAACTTTGAGTGATGGTGAAAAGTCGGCATAGATTTTGCTAACTGTGGTTTTGCTTTGATTACACTCTTCTCTTGGTTTTATGGCGAAAGCCAAAAAAGTACATCGATCGTTCATCACACACACACACAATAGGAACAATTTTTTTTTTTGCTATTTAAACTATTGTTAGTGCTTTAATATAGATAACAAAGCGGCATCAGTATTATATAGGTGGTTATGCCGCCGTCGTCTATTGGGCTGATCTCACAGACAGAGACAAACTCCGATGGGGCGTTAGTGCCTACAGAAAATACCAGCGACTCTAATGAAAGTCAAGGCAGCTCTCTTTCTCAAGTTTTACGAATAAGCTCACGAAACAACGACGAAGCGCTTAAACGGCTTCCAAGTTCCCCAAAGGAACTCATACTACGCATAGATCGTCAACGGAACGAAATACGACTTCTCCAAGAGGAAAATTTGAAGCTCAAATCGCGTGAAGTCGAAGTATCGGCGCTGACGCTAAAACTTCAGCAGCAGTTCGCGGCAACGCAAAACCAAGTTGCGAATTTGAAACGAAACATCCAGCTCCAGCTCGTGAACCCGATCACCGAGGACGAATACAACACCATCGATGCACTTCCAGAAGCCAAACGAGATCTTTTAGATACGGTGAAACTTGGCATTTACCGACAGATAGGATCCCTGCAGGCAAGCGCGCAAGCGGCGGCGCGGCGTGCCGCCGAACTTGGGACGTCTTTGCACCAACTCACGGAAGAAAACAAAAGTTTGAAAATTCAAATTTTAGAACTCCAGTCAACGCTAGAGTTTGAGAAGCAGAGCTCGGCCAAAGAACTAAAGGAAGTTGGAAATCAAAGAGCACGCATACTCGAGTTGGAGGCCTCCGTGAAGGATATGGAAGGACGATTAAAAGGCGCCTTCCTTGATCAGGAACAGTTCCTCACGGCAAAGTTGACCGCACAGATGAAAATGGACGAGGTGGCACGCCTTTCCATCCAATTAGAGGAAGCTGAGCTGGATTTGCAACGGTACAAAGCCAATGCAGAATGTAGCGAGCAGAAGCTTGACATTCTCAAGTCGGAATACTACGAATTAAAGCTCAACTACAGCCAACGTAATCTCGAACTGGAGAGCTCCCTCAAAGCGGCGAACGAAAAGCTTAAAACCTTGGGTGATCTTGAAATGGAATCGGAGCTCTTTATCTCGAATCTCGCGTCGAGGATTCCGGAGGAATCGATCAGTTCGGTCCACACACGACCTCTTCTGGAGGAAAACGCGGCAAACCGTGCGGGGGGGCTCAGCGCGAAAGACACCACGGACTACGAGAGCTGGCTTGCCCTTCCACGCTCGCGGAAGCTTGCGCACAGCCTAACGGTAACCAAGCGCTGTCTCCATCTTGAAAACAAAGTCAGCTCACTTGAACACGACGTAACCTTCAAGGAAAGGCAAATTGAACGGCTCCGCGTCTCCCTCAGCTCTGCGCGAGAGGCGTTAAACAAACAAAACAGCCCCTACGCCATCGTGGAAAAGACCGTCGAGGAGCTCTACGACGAGAATGAGGCACTCAAAGAACGGCTACGAATTAGTGAGGTGGAGCGGCGGCATCTCGCGGAGAAACTCCAAACGCGGACACGGGAGATCGAGGTGTTGTGCAAGCACCGGGGAGACCTTCTGAAGATGAAGTCGTTATTGTCCAAAATCGGCGTGGTGAACTGCGGGAACGACGTTGTGAAGGTGGAACATACTAATAGTAGGCGTAATAGCGGTAATAACAACAACATCGCGAAGGAATCGACACCTCGCCCTCAGCCTGTCGAGATGGATTCTTTCAGCAGTACGGCGTGTCCTGGGATGTTCGCAGCCATCCACATCACCTCCTAAAGGAAGAACTTCACAAAAAACGATGTATATGGATGTTTCAGTAGAGGAGGACTAAGACTCTGGGCCCTATTTATCTACTTGAATTTGTGCATCTTTTTTCTCTGATTTTTCTTCTTTTAAATGTTTTGGTCCATAAACAAGAGATTTGGTAAAAGACATAGATATATACAAAATAAAATATGCAGCTATTATAAATACTTTTAGTGAAGTTTTCATATCACTCTTAATTTGTATACTTGATAGAAAATGTTGCAGGACGATTTGCCTCCAAGATTTGAAGAGACGTGAGTAAAATGAAAAAACGTTGTTAATTCATCTTTAACTATCATCCTCAAAAACCTGTTTATGTAGGATGGTTAGTTGATCACCTCATTAACACCTTCCTATATTTTTTCAACATCAACATCTATCTATATATACAAAGGATTTACAAGTGTGTTGTTTTTACTTTATCCTTTTTGTTTGTGAGAGGTAAGGAAGGATTTCTCTTTTCCAGAAATATCCATAGCTTATAAACTGTAGGCAGCATACTATATAGGAACCTACAAACATATCAAGTTTTACAAACCTGAAGCAATTGAGAAAAGAACCAGTTGGGTGAAAAATCGCTATATAAAGTAAACCGTAAAAAAAAACTGGATAGGAACAGTTAAAAAAATGCTACGCGGTGTAAAGACAGGTTATATTTTCCCCTACAGCAATGTCAGAAATTTCCCTGAACATGGCTATACCGTTTCCTCGCTATGTAAGGCGCGCTTTTACATGAATACGTCTTCCCTAGTCATCACAGTCGGCTTTGTGCTTCCCACCCTAACCAGCGTCAACCAAAAACTGGAAAAGCATGTCAACGAAGGCGATGACATTTCAATGAAAGAACTGATAAATATTTTTATAAAAAGCGGCAAGACGAATTTGATCGCCTTTGCGGATCGTCTGACGCGTGTGGCGCTCGAAACCTCCCTGGCGTGTGCGTTGATTACGTGCCAGAACGACTTCGCGGACAGTGTGGTGTACGTGTGGGATCTACACCCTCGTCTACACCAGTACTACTTCAGTGAGCTCTTTCGGTTTATGCGCATCCCGCGCTTTCTCGCGACGCTATTGGGCCCCTCCCCGTCCTCGGCGGATATCGCCTTTGTGGAGACGGCCATCCCTCCGTTCGCCGCCGTGGAGGACGTGGTGAAGCGAAAGACGATTTCCTGGGTGGCAAACGTCGTTGTGGACCTCGCGCGGATTGGCCTGGCGGGGCCGATGAAGGACAAGAAGACCGCCGCCCTCAAACAGGTGGTGCTGCACACCTCCACCACCCTCTGCTGTGCCGTGGGCGCCGGGGTCGGACGGGGGGTGGGGGGAGGCCGAGGGGAGTACTGGGGGGAAATTGTGGGGCTGTTCTGCGTGCCCCTCATTAACGTGGGGTACATGGCGAAGGTGGTACGACGGCAACTCCAGCGACGTGGCCACACCTCATTCTCCGGCGGACACCGCCACCATCACAAGCACGAGAACTCGGAGCGCCTGTCCAGTCTTGATAAACCCGCCGTGGTGGAGTAAATTCCGGGTTTTCTTTTTCATTTTTTTATTATTCTTCTTTCGAGGAATCTGTCAACGTTTGCATGTTGGGTTTAACATCGTAAGGTGGTGGAGACGCAGAGAGGAAATGAAAACAATGAATATTTTTAAAAAGATGTTTACAGTTTAATAGAAGACGTGAATGGAACTAAGAATGTGAAAAAAATATGGCATATATGCGTAGGGAAAAAGTGAAAACAAAAATTCTAGGTTAAATAATAACATTTAGATATGCTACTCCAGATATTTTATGTATATCATTATAATGTCTTTTTCTCCGTTTTTAACCTTTCTAATTATTCTTTTTTACATTGTTTAGAGTAAAATTCTCAGATATTTCTTTGTGGAGTTTCATTAATGCAGCGTAGTTCGTTTTTTGGCATATTTCTAGGTGTTCTACTCGTACTCCTCTTTTGTGTAACAGAAGGAAGGTGTATTGAGGCATCCAACATGAATCTAAAAAGAGCATATCAACCTTCTTGGGAATTAATTGGCGGAGGATTTCATATGCAATTGGCTTTGAACTTCCCTATATGGGCTGAAACAGTCCGTGTATCCATAACAATGGATAATACGTTTTTCTTTGATACTGAAGAGATCCGTCATCATTACATTGTCACAGGTGAAAACGTGCTGGATGGGGCAAAAGCAAATCAGAGAAAAGAACCCATCGATCTGGCTCACGACTATACTCCCATGAGAGTTGAGTTGAAAGAGGAATTCGACATCGAGGCACCGTCATTTAATTTGCCATATCAAACTGCTACTGTATCACTTAATTTGGAGCGCTTGGCGACTGAGGAAAGCACGCCTTCGAACTTCCTTGAAGAAGGAAAACTAATTCTTCCAATTCATGCTCGCTACCCGTATGTGATTCGCTCTTCAGATGTTCGCGATAAGGATTTTTCCATAAATGTGTTATTTCATGGCAGAGAGGATGCCTTTCAAAAAACTTGTCTTCACGATCTAAAGGTATCTTGGACCTCAAATAAATTTGGTGATGGAGAAAGCTCCAACAAAAGGCCTCTTTGCCATCGCATCCCTACCACGGTATTAGAAGATCTTCCAATTGTATATTACTCCCTTATTATTCTTCTATGGCTTGGAGCGTCTCAAGTGTTTGCTTGTCTGTATATTCGATGCTAACTTGCAAGAATCATTTAGGAATACATATATAAAATAATATTAGATAATAGCGCTCCCTTTTTATAACGAAAAAGTGAAATTATTGGTCAAAAGGCAAGACAACTCTGCCTAGCTTAGGTACCGCACTCTGTTTAGTGACTCATATTATTTCTGCCATTATGTTAGTAATTTCTGATGTAATATTCTCGCACTCTGAAGTTTTTATCCTATTAAAGAGGAATACATAGCGCAACCCATATTTTATTTTAAGATTATCAGAACACGGTTGATGAAAGGTTTCCTAAACTTATATATATAATCATATTCATATAATATTTCTAGGCGTACATTTTTGTTCAGAGTAGATAAAAAATGCCGCACCAACTTAAGCTTGTTGAGAAATATTTGTTACATCGAAAATCACCGTCACTTTTATATAATAATCTACACAACTTTGGCGACGATTCGTTTCTTTACGTCAGCGGGAACACCGTTTTTAGGAACAACCCTGACGTGAAGAATTTTTTAAGTATAGCTAGCTATTCAGAACAAGTGATCTACTGTCACGCCGCGTTCCTTCCGATGTACGGAAATGTTGTGGCGATAGTGAATCAACGAAGTATGGATCTATATATCACGAATAAGAACTGCGTCTCCTTAGTTTACAACAAACACTCTCTTACTAGGAGTGTTGAAGCTTCAAAGTGTGTAACATTTTGCCTTGATAAAACTGGCATGATCTGCGTGTTTATTGGTACGAGTACCGGGGACCTCATCTATGCTGAATTTAACCTGTCGGATGTCGGGGGTAGAAAAACTTCTTTAGTACCCAAAGGATGCACTAATATGCATAAAATGCGCTCCATCACGGCACTTGACGCCAGCTATGATCACTTTCCTAGCCCTGTGTCCGTTGTTTCGGGTGATAATGGTGGTAATGTGGTGTTATGGGATAAAAATAGGAAACTCTACCGCTTTATTTCAAGCTGTGACTCTGAGTCGGAGTATACAACAGCTGTGAAGATTTGTGGGGAAGGGATGTTGGCCGCGGTTTCGTTTGGAAATGGTAAGATAGTTCTGTACTGCATGACAACTGGGTCCAAAAGCGTGGAAATATGCGCCCATGCAAGGTGTATTAACGCGATGGCGTGCTTTCATGGCCCTAATATTCAAGGGATGGGCGATCTTCTTGCGACAGCTAGCGAAGATGGCACCGTTCAGCTCTTCAACGTAGTGCAATCGGACGGAGAAGTGGTGGCATTCGTACGATGGCTGGCTAACATTGAGCTGAATGATATCCTGCCTACAGGCTTGTGTTTTAATGAGAGTGGAGAAACTCTGGCCTTGACGTGTTATGATACACCATTGATTTATGTCTACAAGATTTCAGAATTGTAATGTTGTAGAAATCAAAATCAAAAAAGAAAAGTATCGAACTTATACACTAAATGTGATGTAGTGGCAAAAAAAAAAAATTTCACTATCGATGGATTTGTTTGATCTTTTTTTACCTTAAAATCGAAGGCTACTTATGGTAGTAACAATGGCTAAATGCTGTTTCTAAATTTTAATCCCATAAATTAAAAAAATTATCTCAGGAGGGAAATGTAGACTGAGCAAAATTTGTGATTTTTTTCTAAATGCATACTTATTGGTATTACTATTGTTTATATGTTCAATACTTTCTGTGTGTATGTGTCTCTCTTTCGGATATATATTTCCATATTACGTCAAAGAAACAATATTTTATCTTTTTTTTAACAATATATAGACTATATGAAATGTTAGAAGATCGTATCGAACGTGAGGACTCCGTTGAGACCTTTGCTTCTTTCAATACAGAAGATAGTTGCTCAACGGTGTCGCAGAAGAGTTCTAGTAACGATCTTGAACCCTTCGAGCATGCTATTCGACAAGAAAATACTCAACAATTTCCCTTTGTGTCCGCGCACGCTCACACACTTCGGGCGTACAGCGTTCAGGCGGCGCACTCAGATGCAATCACGTCACGCACGTCTTCGTGCATTACCCTAACGCTTCGATTGGACTTGTCGCCCCCACCAACATTCCTTCAAACAACCAGAGACGGCAGTTCGAATCCTTCTTCAGGCCCATTACCTTTTGCTTATCACAACGGAGTTGTGAAACTTGTTTTTCCTTTTTTAGAGGAGGGGTCACTGACTCCAGATCAACGAATTGCTGTGATATTGGTTGTCAATCGAGACCTTATCTCAAAATGCGCTTTACTTTTACACAAGCAGTGGAAGCCGGGTGATCCAAACGAGGATGCCAATACAGCAGCCAAGGAATCACTTTATGGCGTGAAGCCAGTAGATACGGCATACCTCCCTAGGGAAGGTATGCATTTGGTGCTTTACTTTACGCAGGGAAAGATGTTAAATCACCCTAACATCAACACAAGTTCTAACCCTACCGCTTGGCATTACCTCTGCCGATCGTTCGATGTGGTAAGCTTTACGACAAACAGCGACGCGGCCTTTTGCGGTATACCACTGAAACCTTATCACCGCTACCATCTGAGGTACAACTCTAAAAAAGGGATTGAGTTAAATTTAAACCGGTATTCCTTTCTACAGCTGCGCTTGAATTCGGAGGATAATTTAAACGAGAATGAAAACTCCCCGATTCATATCAAACCGAACATTGCGTTAAAAAAGATCAAAAAAGGTTCAAAGCGCCCCCGAAAAAGCCACCTTCCGGGAGGCTTCCCGCGCCCGTCGGTCTGTGCTACCGCCAAGACGAACAGCTCCGCAGCCATAAGGGATGGCGGTCGAGCTCATCACCGTCCGGGTCGAAAGAGCGTGACCGCTCAACTGGATAGACCTTTCCATTCCACCGAGTATTCCTCCAGCGACTCCTTCCCCTCGTTTCCATTAGACTCCAGCGAGAACAACGAGACTGAGAGTCTCACCATGGTGCCAGTGGCGGCTCCACTTTCCAGACGAAAGAGTGTTCTTTTCACCACTGGCATGCGCCTCAGCCGGGTGCAGGAGCGGTTGTGCACGAAACTGGGGTTTATCGTCAATCCATCACTGTCAAAGGCGTGCGAAGCCTCTATCTTAGTCGTGCACGGTCCGCTCATGCGCAGTATCAAACTCCTTACCGTTCTTCCATACATTAAGGCACTGGTGGATCGAAAATGGCTCGATGATATGCTTTCCCAGGGTAATCCATTCTTGCCGATCGAGCCCTATGTGTACGCGGAAAACAAGCGTGTGGGAGGCATTGAGCACACAAACGAATTTTCCATGGAAAGCACACTTAATATTCCGTTGGAGCAGCGTCAACGGCTGTTTGCATCTCATACCTTTTGGATTCATCCCTCAGTGGCACCGCAGGATCCCCCCATGAATGATTTGCACACAGTTTTAACGGCTTCAGGTGGAAGGATTTCTGAAAGCATAACAGACGCCAGCACTTGGGTATTACCATCACTCACACCATCAGTGGTTTCCATGAAGATTATCACAAAGGCTTTGAAAGATGAAGAAATTTCAAATAGGAGACGTCATGTTCGAAACCGAGCGGCTTTTGAAAATGATATACCCCTTTCGCGTTTATTAAGCTCTGTATTGTATATGGTTGTACCGGACGATATCTTTCGTAGCGTTTTGCAGCAACTTGATTTGTGTAAATTTACGCTGCGGATTGGTAATGTGATATCTATGCTAAGCACTACAAATACGAAAAAAAGAATTCGATCCCCCAAGCAAAAATCTTCTACTAAAGTAGTTAAAGTATCCCAGGTGTGAACACGCACTAAACCGATGGAGTATCTTCCTTTACCTAAATATATTTATAGATATATTTCTATATTCCTGTGAAAAATCCTAATAATCATGTCATGGGCATGCAACCCATTACTTTTGGATATATACTTATTGTATCATTTACCCATATTTCCCCTTTTTTTTTCTGCATGCAATGTTTTTACCGAGCGTTCCGGTTTCCTGATGCAGGTTAAATTTCGATGCGCGCAATTAGTAGACAATGGCTACAATGCAACATCACCACCACACGAAGGAATCGATATATCTCCGTAGGCAGCTTCCGGATGTCAACCACAACTGGAGACAGGGCTCGTGTGAATTTTATCGTGGACGCCCTCGCCCCAGCACTTCGAGACGAGTTTGACTTCAAGGCAAATCAGAAAACCTTAAACCATCTCATTCGACGAACCCAGTGCGTAGCCCTGGACAACCCCACAGAAGGGGGCATTACATCACTCGAAACTGAGCCGACAAACCCTGTCGTGGAGGGCATCCCAGGGAAGTGCGGAACCTCTCCAGTGGTGGAAATTCAAGTTCGAAGCGAGTGGGTGCACCCCATCAGCTGGAAGTGCCCGCGCTGTAGGGCCGAATGGGTTGCGCGTATCGTCGACCGCGTAAATCCGCAAACAAGAGAATTAACGAGCTGTCCAAGGTGCCAAGCCACACATACTGCCCAGGCAGCGTCATCGGTCGCACAATTTATACGCAAATATCAAAATTCCAAAACCAATTCCCCTGACGATGAGTGTGTCAATGCAAACCCCCGAATGGGCGAAAGGCATCCCAATATAAAGACTCCAGCAGGGTCAAACTCCTCACCTGCCTCCCTTCTTATAGAACAATACCCTATGATTGCATCCCAGTGGGATTTTGAGCGAAATTCTCTCTATCAAAACTGCGTTTTACAACCGCTCCAACATGTTCGCACCAGCTCCTCCATGGTGGTGTGGTTTATCTGCTCGCTGTGCGCACGATCGTGGCGCGAGTCAATCAGCAGTCGGGTGGCGCGTTATGAAAATTCCCTTCAAACCACCCACAGTAAAGACCCTAGTGAGGTGATTCCGCTCTGCCCTTCCTGCGAGCAGCGGGGTGCGGGAAGGCGCTTTCAACACCGCCGCCCTCACGGGCCTTCTTTGACCTCTAACAACAACAATGCAGTGGGGGCGAAGACGTTGCCCAAGTGTTTTCTTTCACAGGATATGCTTTTGATGGCGGAAGTCTGTCTTCGGCGCGATCAAGACCCAAGCGCGATCCCGCTGAGTAGCGAGCAGGTCCTTTCCTGGAGCTGCCGCTACTGCGGCTATAAATACCAAAGCAGCCTGAGGAATCGTATTGCATGCCATGAAAGGTGCCCACAGTGCAGTGGCAAGGTGTGCACACCCATGAATTCGCTCACTATTCAACGACCAGACGTGATGAGGGAGGCCGCCAAGACCATCAGTCGAACCAAGTTAATGAAACTAACCGTGTTCTCGGAGCAGGAGATTCCATTTGTCTGTCGCATTTGCTTTTCTCCGTACCGCATGACCGCTAAGGCGCGTTGTATGATACCTAAAAATGGTATCGCATGCCAGAAGTGTCTCCTGACATTTTCACAAACTGCACAGGCCACGGCAAAAGACGCATCACACCCGCATAAGCTAACGGTAAAAGAAAGACGTAAACTCAGGGATAAAGCATACCGTTTGTGTTTGAGCAATCGTAGCAATGAGAAACTAAAAGCAACGCAGAACGAAATTGAAAAAAAGGATCACATACTAATAAATTAACTTCTTTCTCTCCCCCTTCATTTGAGCATATCTGTGAAGTTATTGATTGGTGATTGTTTTGAATCTAAATGCGACGATTGGATATCTTGCGCATACGCCCTTTCTTTTGTAACTCTTTAGAATCTGTTATCCAAGATTCAATTGAATACCAATGCCCGTAATGGTGTGCCCCCCCCCCCCCCCTTTAAGGTCTAATCATTGCGTCGAAAAAGAACTATCGCGAAGTTAAATCAAAGCTTCTTCCTCCATACGTTGTCTTGATTTTCATCATGACCAACTCGGTCACATATTCTGATTTTAATAGGAAAAGAGGGTGCAGGTGTAGGCAATTACCATTCAAGCGCCATCAAAACAATAAAAAATAAAAAAATCCAAGTTCTTTAAAGTCACAGTTTACAACACTCTTCGAATCCATGTCCACAAATTATTCTGATAATATTGATGTTGCATTGAGTGATAGTTCACCGAGTAGTGTTGAGGTGGCTCTAGTTCTTTGCGAGCACATTCTCCAGAAACTTCACACGAAGTATCACATTAACTCTGCGTGTTCTTCGACACTCTATGCGTGGTATATTCAAAAAGTAGCATTCATTAATCTGATACGGAACAGGACAGATAATGACCCAAAAAACGACATTATAAAAAATCACAATCTTCGACAAAGTAAAAGTAGTGTTAATAAAGAGGTTGAAAAAAGCATGACTTTCGAGAGTAGCAAAGTGGTCTCACACGAAACAGTTAATCTGAATAATAGTGGAATTGACTTCTTTCAAGCCTATCAAGCAGCCCATACCCACGGTTTCTTCGAATCAATTTCACCATCAGATCAATCTAACGGTATCGAACAAGAAGAACCAAGCATAGAACAAGAAAAGGTACCTAAGGCTGATGGCGCTACGATACAGAGCGGCGACGAATTATTATTCTCATCTCAACCTCAACAAAATTTATCAATACTAGATTTTCCTACCGATGTACTTCGAGATTCCGGATTTCGTTTACTCCTTAATTTACTTCTAGCGTGCACTCCTCATAGCAACGAGTTGTGCTTAGACGTCTGCCGTATCCTGGTCGAGCTGTTTCCTGCGTCTTCAACCTCGCCAAGTATCCCCGCAGAGCCTGTAATAGACTCTCTGGCGATGCATTCTCAAAGGGAACTCCAAACGAACATGAATGTGTTGGTCCTTTCGAATAAATTTTTCAATTTAAATATTGACGAAGAGTCGGCGCTGTTGGCGCTCGGAAATGCCACGCAGAGCTTCATTCTGTGGATGAACATCGCCTGGTCCTGTGCGTCGTACGAACATCAAACCCGACTCGCCGCGCAGGTTTCTCAGTGGATTTCATGTCTGTCCAATGTGCTTCGTTTGATGAAGGAAAATGAAAAAGACTTGGCACGCGCTTTCACGGCGTGGGTGAAGACTTCGGCACGAGCGCTCCCTCTCCCGCACTATCACACAGTAAAAAGCATCATGATGGAGAACCAGTTCAGTCTCAGCCTCGACTCCTGCGATACGTCAAACGTGGTGAAGGCCTCTCGAATTTTGCGCGATATCTTTGAGGGCCATGCGGCGGATGGCTTTGATATGTTGGAGTCCCTCTTTACCCGTGCGGGGACCTCGTATCTGCCCGACAACTACGTCTCGAAGCTACTCGCGATGCAGGGCACCGCGGCGATGGCGATGATGCCACGTCAGGAGCTGCTCAACCACGGATCGCGGCTGACCCTTTTTAACATCACCTGCGGCATGCTCGCGTACGTGGTGTTCTACCTCTCCCTTCGCTCGCTGGACACCGCGCAGCAGTGTGCGAGCTTGGCGATCAAGGTAGGGCAGCAGCTCCACTCGAACCACACCCTCGCCCTCGCTCACTACTGCAGCTTTGTCGTGCAGCTCCACAGCAGCCGTGCCGCCGAGGCCGCCGACAGCATCTCCATCGCCCTGCAGCTCAGCACCGCCGAAGGAGAGGAGGGGGGGGGGGCCATGGCGCCCCGCCCCATCCGCAGCATCGCCTACGCGAGCGCGGCCGAGCTGCTGCTGTTCTTCCCGGGCGTCGTCAGCCCGTCCCTGCGCGCGGCGATGAGTGTGTGCTTCACCGCC